CTTTGTACCTGCATAAATACAGCAGACGCTGGATTTGGATTGGCTTAGTGTCTTTAATAGTACATACAAAAAAAAAATTAAAATAGTACATACAGGATAAATGTGTTAACTGCTGTTGCACAACACAACTACTCTGTTCCAATATCCTCATGTTTTTTCAGCTTCTGGAAATAAGTCAATACAAATGATTTGTTCAGTTATTAAAACAGCTTTATTGTATTTCTGTGTATTAGTGCTGTGTTAATATCAGCTGAACAGTGGCTTGATAAATATCAATGCCATATGATTGGGAGGTTCAACAGCTTCTCTCAGTGCTACCAGTACGTCATGGTTTAGATGGTCATCTGTGACAGGAATTATGATTCCATGGTGTGGGCGTCACAGTGGTGCAGTGGTTAGCCCTATCACCTCATAGCAAGAAGGTCCTGGGTTTGATCCCCGGGTTGTCCAGGGTGCCTTTCTGTGTGGAGTTCGCATGTTCTCCCCGTGCATGCATGGGTTTCCTCCAGGTGTTTCGGTTTCCTCCCACAGTCCAAAGACATGCAGATTAGGTAGATTGGCTACTCTACACTCTACATTGCCCGTAGGTGTGAATGAGAGTGTATTTGTCTGTGTTGGCATGCACTGGCATGCCTAAATGGAATGTGACTGCACTGTTATGCTTATAACATTAAAAGCACTACTATAAAGAGGTGTTATGCCAATTTCACACACAATTTGGTTTCTCCAAAGCACTACTGAAGTTCCACTGGAAACATTCAGTATGCAATATTCAGAAACTTCTCTCTTTAAAAGAGGATTACGGTCCAGGGAGGAGATGGCTTGGACGTCAATTTGTTCTTTAATGTGAATTATGAGAATGAGAATTATACTCCAATAAGTGTTCTGTAAATAACCACTCTTACTTTTCCAGTTCATCTCCACACAGTTCTCAGTGTGTGAGGTGTAGCTTGGTTGACCTGGAACCCAATTCTGGTAATCCCAAACAGAACCATCTTTCCAGATGAACTTGTTGGACTGGAAGGGGAGAGCAAGAAGGAGCGATACCATTACATGGACACACAGGTCACCAGCCTGATATTACCATCCCTGGTTCACAGTACAAGGCACATGGATGTCCCAGCCCTGTTCCCACGTCTCCATCACCTGGCCATCCCTATAACCACCCAACCAGATCCGTGGAGCTGAGCTGGCAGATCCCAGCAGGGAAAAGACATCCTCGTTTGCTTGGCTATTGTGCACAGAGATCAGGTGAGTCCCTGGAGCTTGACTGCAAGTAAACTGTACACAGGAACAATTAATCTGAATGCAGTATAGCAGTAATACAGATGTTGGCTTCGATTGTGAGCCTGTTTGAACCCAAGAATCTCATTTTATAGAACTACAACATGAGGCACCTGGGGGACAGTTTTTGCTTTACCTCAGCAACGTCGAAGGAGCAC